CTGGTCTACAGAAGGAGTTCTGGGACAGTGAGGACTACACAGAGAAACCCTGTCTTGAGTGGGGCAGGGGAGACTCAGGGGGAGGAGGACATCTGCAGAGAAGACGGAGCTGTTAAAAGCACTTGTTGCTCTTAGCAGAGGACCTGGGTTCAATTCCCAGCATGCCATGGTGGCTCACAGCCATCTGTAACTCCAGTTGCAGGGGATCTGAAGCCCTCTGCTGACTCATATAGGTGCCATGAATACATCACTGCACATACATACATGCAGGCAAAACAGTCAGACACATAAAATAAAAACCTAGAAAATTTGTTGACTTTTTATTTTATTTATTTATTTATTTATTTATTTATTTATTTATTTATTACAGCACTTGTGCAGATGTTGGAGCACAACTTGTAGGAGTTGGTTCCTTTTACTGCTCAAGTCTTGGGGATCAGACGCAGGCAGTCGGGCTTGGAGGCAAGCCCCTCTTCCTTCTGAGCGCTCTCACTGACCTTCCCAGGCTGGCTGCCCCGCAGGCTTCTGTGTCTGCCTCTCAGTACTAGGATTACAGATGTTCGTACTTGGGTGTGGGCACTGCATTGACTGAGTCGTCCCCATCCCCAGTGCATTTATCTAGCTGGGTTTCTCTTCTCCCTTTGGCGTTTCAGTTATTTCAAACACTGCATTTTTGAGTTTTAAATTTCATGTAGTTCGTTTTTATGTTTCCTGAGTACCCCTAAGTCCTACCCTTCATTTGATATGTTTTCCTTCTTAGGCAGTTTGCATAATTGCTTAACATAGTGTTTACCATTCCCAGTATCTGAAGCATATTTGGTTCAGCACCTGCTAATGATGTTGCTTTAAAAAATTCTCACGTTTCCATGGTTCTCTGTGTGTTACAGAAAGTTGTATATCATGTTTGTAGGGTTTGGGTCCCTCCTAGGGAATGCTGCTAGTTTTTTTTTTTTGTTTTGTTTTGTTTTGTTTTGTTTTGTTTTGTTTTGTTTTGTTTTGTTAGCTGTTCATTTAGTTTGAGGCTGTACGTGTTGACACACCTTCTGAGGGCACTGGTGGAAACCTCAACTGTGTTCTTCATCTCTTTGCTGTTATGGTCTGTCTGGCTTGTCCCATTGGCAGATAGGCCATATAGTTGCTCTAAGACTTCGCTGTTTCAAGTCTTTTCTGTGCTCCAGGCTGTTCTTTATTGATTGGTTCACTCAGTTCAAGTCTTATATTAGATTTCAGTCTTTGCCAGGCTGATCTGAGTATGTCCCTGTCTTCCACATACATAGCTCAGGCTACGCTGTGACTTGTGTGATTGTATGCACAGAATTACACAGTCCCCTTCTTTTCTTTCTCCTCTCCACACTTCCCCACACTGTGGGCCAGCTTCCTGTGGTCTCAAGATGAATGTGCACTGTAGTCTGATGTGGAGGAAGCCATCCTTGTGGCGGAGCCATGGAACATCCTCAGGAAAGTGACGGCACATGAGTCACTTCCCTGCTTTTACTCCCCTGTGCAGCCCACCTCCTTTTGTTTAAGGCACACTTTGGAGTTTATCGTTGTAATCAGCTGATTCTGCCACACCTTCCAGGACTGCTCCATATCAAATTTACAATAATTTATAATAGTGGACCTTGTACAGTCAGCTGATAATTGTTCCCCGACTCCTAGAATAATGACACCTTTTGTGTTTTACTCTGTCCCCTTCACTGTTGTGGAATATTATTTTAAGGTGTGTTACATTTGTTTTTGCTGTGGAACATTTGTTTTAACGATGCAGAGGTGTGTTTCATTCTTTTATGTTGCATTTGCTTAACTCTGTGAAGCTGTGTTACTTTGCCTTTCTGAAACACCTGATTGGTCTAAATAAAGAGCTGAACAGCCAATAGTGAGGCAGGAGAAAGGATGGATGGGGCCGGCAGGCAGAGAGAATAAATAGGGGGAGAAATCTGGGGAGAAAAAGATCAAGGAGCAAGAAAAGAAGGGGCCAGCCACCCAGCTACACAATCAGACACGGAATAAGAAGGAAAGAAAAGATGTACAGAAATAAAGAAAGGTAAAAGCCCAGAGACAAAAGACAGATGGGATAATTTAAGTTAAGAAAAACTGGCTAGAAACAAACCAAGCTAAGACTGAGCATTTGTAAGTAATAATAAGACTCCGTGTGATTTATTTGGGAACTGGGTTGTGGGCCCCCAAAGAGTAAAATTTGAGTAAAAAATAACCAACTATACTTCATCTCAGAAGAAACCATATAAGCAAATGTGTCTGTCCTTATTTATGAATCTCTTAAAATCAGATCTGCTTTATATACATATTTGTTTTTAACTTTACTGAGATACCATTGTAAGAGAGATCCTGTTCTGTTTCCTTTTGTACTTAGCAGTATCCCCTTAATCCAGTTAGGTCTCTATATGCTGAACTGCTTTATTTTTGTTTTTGGTTGTTTGAGACAGGGTTTCCCTGCGTAGCTCTGGCTGTCCTGGAACTCGCTCTATAGACCAGGCTGACCTTAAACTCACAGTGATCCTCCTGCCTCTGCCTCCATGTGGGGATTAAAGGTGTGCGCCGCCGCTGCCAGGCTGCCAGACTGCTCTGATGCAGTTAACAACTGTGTAGTTCCAGAGTTGTTAGCTGTCACATTTAAAACCCTTTCCTCTCCCCCCCTCGCCTCCTCTCCCTCCCCCCTCCTCTCAACTCCCCACTCCCCCTCTCTCCCGCCCTCTCCTCTCTCTCTCCTCTCTGACAGAGTCTGGTTATGTAGTCCAGGCTGAACTCCTGCCTTAGCCTCCCGAGTGCTGGGATTGTAAGCCTGTGCCACAGGCCGAATTTACCACTTCTGGTGAAGCAAGCTGGCTTTTCTTTGATTACTGTTTACCCTTGGGCTATCTTTTGGGCAATAGCCAGAGTGATCTTTCTCACTCTCTGGGTCTGAAGTGGGCCTCATAGCTGTGAACTGGCACAGGGAGGTCCTAGAGGTCTTTTGGCACACTCTAAAAACCGTGTGCTACTGTGTAGTGAGTGACCTAGGGAATGTGTGACACATTGAGTTTCTCAGCAATTTTTCTTTCTTTCTTTCTCCTTGAGAGAGGGTTTCTCTGTGTAGCCCTGGCTGTCCTAGAACTCACTCTGTAGACCAGGCTGGCCTTGAACTCACAGAGATCCACCTGCCTCTACCTCCAGAGTGCTGAGAATGTTTAGATTTCAGGCGTGTGCCACCACTGCCTGGCCCTAAATTGTTTTTTTCTTTCTTTCTTTCTTTCTTTCTTTCTTTCTTTCTTTCTTTCTTTCTTTCTTTCTTTCTTTCTTTCTTTCTTTCTTTCTTTC